CTTCTACTCTGTCAAAATTCTCCTTCCGCTTTTCTTCACATTCCTGAAAACAAATTGACATAATATCAGCCAAATGATAGGATGTAGTTGGCCTTTAATCAAAATCCAAATGTAGTTGTGCACTTCATAGCCCATCTACTCACGTTATTAATGTTGTTTTCATTCATTTGACCTCAAACCAGAGTTTGCGTTTTCCTAGAATTGGTACATGTAATTCATCTTTTATCTCATAATTTATTTTCAAACCGAGGTACTTGTAATGCATTGTTTTAAGAGATACATAGCATCAGGATATGACCTTTCTCTTGACATCTTCTCTGGTCAACCTGACTGTCCTTCCTCGGCCTCTCCCACTGCTACCGGTACCAACCGGTTTGCTTGGTTCATTGTCCACAGAAATTGTCAGATCCTGAAACAAACAAAAACAATTCAACCTCAACTGGTTATGAAGACCAGCTACAGCCGAACGATAACACAACACCCTGCTTATACAGAGGAAAATGTAGGTCCCAAGTCTGTGTTATTTGTTGGGCAACATTGATCATACAAGATTATTTGTTGAAGTTCCAATGCCCTTATTATGAAGGTGTTTGACTGAATTAACACCATTCTCCATATGGCAGAAATACAATGTATGAAGCTGGGACATCTCACACTAATGACAACAACAATCACTTTGTGAAGAACTCAAAACTAGCTCAAAACTTGTATTTTTCATTGGGCATGTGCACTGCTTAAATCAAGGCATGTTTATATACAGAATGTTGGAAATTAAATTGACATTAGAAAATCTTGTAATCTACTCCCATTAAATGGATGTTTAATAACAGAGATGTAATGTATAGAAAACCATGCTCAATTAGTGTATACATCATTGAGTATTAGTTCAATGTAAGTCACTTAAACACAGTAGAATGGCTTCCAAGCTGAGCGCTATTCCAAATGGTTAAACGCTGCTAAACCTCACCAGCTCTTCATGCATCTGAGGTTAACGAACTTGGCTCAACATTATTGAAGTACAGCTTACTATCCAAAAATATTCATGTAGGTGAATTTGGTCCATTCTTCTTCAAGCAATAACTTCAAAGACAGACATTAACATTACTGTTGCAAAGTAAATCATTCCATTACTGAATCAAATAGGTACATTCAATTTACACACAAGACCCAAAATGCAGGTTAACTGAAATAAATCACAATGCTTTCACGAGCATACTGGTAGCATGCTGAGGAAAAAAATACAATAAATGATTCATTTGTTTAATATTCTAATGACCTTTTTTGTCTATAACTTCCACAGAGTACCAAAGCATGACATCATTTGAAATAGGACGTGTAGTGCAAATGAGTAAAGTACCCCGCATGTTAGACCATGCGCTGGTTGTTGCACTTCTACACACATAACTGTGACCATTACATATTCATATCGGTACTCTATAGAGGTGCAAATGAATTTTGCCTCCACACACATCATGGCAAAACTCTGAAGTACACGAAAGTTTCTAAACCAATCATCGTTTTCAGAGGTAGGCTTACAGCAAACAGTAGAGTTGGACCATCATGGCTTTTTAGAAACTTGCAATGAAATGGAAATGGAAAGCTTGACAGTGAAAAAGTGCCCATGAGACTCGATGAGCTCAGAGTAAGAGAGGCTAGCCGGTAGTAGTTGTGGTCATTCATTCTTTGTATAAACTTCCTGATTGTATACAGTAATTGAGAGGTCTGACTGGTGGAATTAATGAAGTAATACCAAGGTAATCATCTGGTATCTCAAAGGGATACTACACAAAGCAACCTCTCTAAATGCTCTTGGTTTGTGGAGGCTGGTTAGGTTATAAGAGGGAAGATGACACCTTCAATGCAGATCAAGTACTTGCTTGTACCTCTTCCTTAGTATTACAATTAATTATTAATGTTTACCACACAATAACTGTCAATTAATAATTACAGGTTTGCCTGTGACCAAACAAGTGGTATACTGAAACAGAAACATGCAGTTAATACATAAATTGGACCACCACCATGCACTGGGTAACATCAGAAGCCACTCCATGCCTCAATGTAAACCAACAAGGTTACCACACCTGACCATGCAAGTCAGCAAACATCCCATAAATGAATGGGATAAAGAAAATGACCAATCATAGTCATGGAAAAGGTATGCAATACTCCCTATCAGTGTGCATGCGGTTAGTACACCAGCAGCATATAATGTGCAAGCGTTAAAGCTGGCCACTGGATTGGATTTATTTGTGTCATCATTTTTGTTATTCAAGAAGTACTTTACCAGAGTCCTCTTTGGAGAAGAAAAGAAACTTTGGTTTCTGGAGAGCAGACTAGGTATTCAGGTAATGGCCCACACCCTGGCTCTTGTATGGGGCCATTTTGGTATTGCAACTACACATACCCACGTCAAGATTTGACAGTTTAAATCTTTGAGATGAAGCAATGTAGAAGAAACCAACAAATTAAGAAGTACTTGTTTTGCATTAAATGCCAGATTTCACAGACAGAACATTGCACTGTTCTTCAAGTTGACGGTTGCTTTTCATGCTACAACTTTTGTGTACAAGGTATTTCTTTTCTCTCCCTAATGACATAATGTTCTCCACATTGACTCGTGGAAGTTTATTTCTTATATTTATCCTAGTTACAGCTTGATGTCATTTGAGGTGAAAAATGCATGGTTGAGCTGACTGCTCAAAAAAGAACACTGGCCAAGCAAAGTATAGAGACAAAATTGAGCTAACAAGCAAACAATGGTCAGTGGATGGGTGAATTAAGAACAGCCAATGTCCAAGCAGTATACCTCTTTGCGTTCACCCCACATCACCACTTTGCGTTTCACCTTGGGCTCTCGTTCCACCTTGTCATTCTGAAATGTCACCATCAAATTCTGCTCAACAGGACCCCCACATAAACACACAGACAGACACCCAGGGGTGGGGACAGGGGCAAGATTAAAGAAAGGTATGACATGCAGGGGGTATTCAGGGAAGGAGGCATACAACTCCATAAACAGCCACACATACATCATGGTAAGAAGGGAAGGGAAGATGGATAAAGGATGGTGGGGACAGAAATCAGAGAACAAAAGCTGTCAACAAGTCATGCGATGAAATGTAAATGGAGCCGAAAAACAGACATTTGGTGTATAACTATTGCACTGTATTACACAATGTCTGAATAAATCCCTGTTATCTGATTGGAGGACTGCTGATCACATCACTGATTATTTGTTCAAAAGCACATTGCAGCGCAACCATGGTGATGGAATGTTCCATTCCACATGGCAACAGATCAATCAACCCTTTTCCGCTGATCCATTTGCAAGGTCACACTTTTTGTGACGCTACATTGCAGATCTTATGAGACAAAAGGGTGGTGCGGGGATATATTCAGATACACAG